GTGGGCAGTTCCGGGCTGGTTTGGGGGAGTTCGCGGGCTGCCCGTGTGCGTCTTGGGGCGGGCTTTTCCGTTACCGGTCCCCTGTGCCTGCACGGTTGCGGTTGGTCACTCGCGGTTCGGAAGACACCCCCAGACACCGGCACGGCGCCCCGTCCTGAGCCGGCCTTGCCGGCTCGCCTCGCGAGCTGAGCCAACTTAAAACGGTGGCTCCCGCGCACGGCCCCGGGGGTCCGCGGGCCCGGTGTGCCCCGCGGCTGGGCTGCGAGCCGGAGCCCCCCCCCCACCCCCTTTCTCGGCGCCTGTGTTAGCGGCGCTCGGTCTCCGACAACTTGCGCAGCAGCCTGGTGCGTGTTCTCCGGCTCTTAGCTCCAACCCAATCCGAGCTTCTCTGGGGCTCTGTGAATGAAACGTGTCGGGGAGAGATAATCCCGGGGCGGCTAGAGAACGGAACTGAGGGGCTAAGAGGGGCCAGTGGATGCTGCGAGGGCGCGCGCTGCTCAAGTCTGGCGGCCCTCGTCTTTAGTGATCCCAGATCAAGTCGAAACGCTGAATTTCCTCCAGCTTCTCTGCATTTTGCCCAAGAACTGGCCAGTGGATGCAGAGCAGTTTGCAGATACGTTAAAACATCACAGTTGCGATAGAGAGCGGGATGGCTATTTTATTTATGGTGCATCTGCAAACTCTGCAAGGGAGGGGTTATTAAAAAAAAAAGCAACTTGAACTGAAATGAACGTATTTTTTATAAATTTGGACATTGCAAAAAAATTAGCCCATACATCACATTAACGGCGCGAAGCTTTCTACTGTATACAGGGAGCCTTTTTCAATTCAGAGCCAGACTCAGTCTGCCTCTGGTGAGTCGGAGGCGGAACCTGTGGTGAATTTATAAGACCACTTTTCTATCCCTGTCACTTCTTCTCCCTTTTCCAGAACTCCTTAATTTGTTAATCAATGAATAGAGAGCGATTGGCCCCTCAGCTCCTTGAGTTTCTTAACTCTCCCTTCCCCCTTTGTCCCGTTATTTCATTCTTTTTAATTAATTGATAAGGATCAACTTTGCTATTTTGGCTTTTCCAAATCTCAGGAAATCGGCTTCTCAAAGGGTTGTAGTATGGATTCCTGTTAGGAACTTGTTCTCCTGTAATCTTTACTTTTTAAAAATGTATCTTTAAAACAGATATTTGCCAGCACGATTTCAGATAAAATACCGCCAAGAAAAACACACTGAAGTGTGTGTAAATTGCTTTACTCTTCTTTAGTGGATAATGGGACTGCCAGAGACTACAGCTCATCCTCAGCATGGTGTAAATCTTCTTAATACCGAAGTGCAGATTTTCAGTGTAAATAGTTTCTGTAGTCACTGTTTACTTTCCTGAGACCGGTTGCAGTGGTTAAATAGTTTCTTCAGTATTTCACTTCAGAGGTTCCTTTTGGCCCACCACCTGACCATGACAGAGCTTGCTCATTAGCTGTAGATTTCTAAAATGTGTTCAACTTTGGTGAAACTCACTAGGACCGCGGGCCGTGTACTTTGGCCTTTCTGCCCTTGGTGGAAATAATCAAGATGCAGGTCACTGTAGGGTCAGAGCCATATTTGATGGGAAAATATATGAAACAACTGTGGTGTTAAGAATGTGCATTTTTTTTCAAAGTAAACTTTATTCAGTGCTACCTATTGTCTCTGGAATAATCACATAGGAAATATGCCCTGTTATTGCACTAACTCCTCCTTCCCTAGTTCCTCATACTATTTACATTTGGTTATCTAGTATATGCCCAGTTATCCTTTAAACTTCCTTTCATCCTTTGCCTTATTTGGACTTTTAATGGTTTGCTTGAGAAACAGAATGTGCCATTAGCCTACCAGGGAGCCTGAATTCAAAGGAACTGCTGCTCAGATTTCAGGTTCATGAAAGCTGTTTCTAACTGAAAGATAGTTGCAGGTAGCTTGTCTGATAAAATAACTGGGGAGTAATCAGGACGTTATGGCCCATCATGACTATTTAAGTTTTACTTAGAACTTGCAGGTGTAATATAGTGTTGCCCTTTTCTGCACTAAAATAGACAGAACTTCTTCAACAAGGAGGGACTGTGATGGGTAATATATAAAGTTATACTCAGGCAGTGCTTGAAAGGTGGAGGCCTTACAGGGACAGTTTACACCATTCATCTTCACTCAGCCTGATTTTAGACAGCCGCAGGCTGATCAGATAGACTATCTATCCTTGTTTGAAAGACCTCCAAAGGAGTGGACTCTGGAGCCCCTCTCAGCTTTCCATTCTAATATTTAGTATCTTGCAGTAGCGAAATGTTTCCAGATATGTAGCCAAAGCCTCCACATGTGCTTATTTTGTATCTGCTGGGAACATACTGAGCGGTAGATCCTCAGGTTCTGTGAGTACTGGTTTTCTGATCATAGGGCTATGCAAAACATTCTAGTCCTTTCTAGAACCTCTCCTTTCCAGCCTGCCTCTGTAGATGGTTTTTAACTTCTAAAGGTATCTCCTGTCCCCACACACATACAGTGAAGAAAGCACCTGCTTAAGCAAAAGTCTGGGCAGTTCAAGGAATTCATTTGAGGCTCCCTGTGTCCCTTCATTATAATACTTTGTGACTAAAATGGTGGCTGATTAGTCTCAGTTCAAGTTTTTCATTACTTAACCAGTTGCAACTTTATTGAATAGCCTCTTCTATATAAATTACTCTGTGCCCTCCCTTACTTGAAAACATCAGCTGCTTTTAAAGCAATAAACATTGCCTTTTTGACACCTAGTAATTTAGGAGATGCTGTCATCATCACCATTTTATGGATGAAAAGACTGAGCCACAGAGACACTTTAATGATTAACTTGCCCAAGGCTGACTGGGCTTGAAAGTGATAAGCCTAGAATTGGAACTTAATCTTGCCCATGGCCGTACATGTAAATGCAAAGCTTTCCTCCTCTAGCATGTGTGTAGTGTGGCATTACCATGTATTCTCCTGAAGCTCCTGCTGGAGCCTTTTCTATGTACTTGAAGTATTTAGAATTTTTCAGAGTCACTTTTCAATTTGGAGTTGATATTCTCAGGAATTGACCACTTTACCAACATGTTGTTGCATACCACTTTAGTTTACTGATACAGTTCCCCCATTACTTTATTGCGTAGATGTGGTTCCCTAAAAGATAGAAACATAAGACTATGTTTGCATTATATTGGAATGTTGGGCGATTCTAACAAAAGTTCACTATAGAAAGCTACTATGGAATAGTAGAGAGGGGGATGTTTGTCTACACAGATTAGGGGAACAATTATAAATAACTCTGTTCTCAAGATTTACTTGGCCCCTTTCTCGGTTTTTGGATATTTGAGAATTGAACTTGAGCTGGAAAAGATGTTAAGAAGGTGCAAAACTCTCTTCCTGTCTCTTTGATAGAGTTTATCTTAAAGTGCTAAAAATCTTGACTCAAAATCTAAAATTAAACAAACAGTTCTTATACTCTGCTGATATTACAGCAACTTTTCAGCTGTTTTCAAATTTCAAAATACATCATGTTTGATTTCACTTGGATTTTACCCAGTGATCTTTTCCTAGCCTTGGTGGGCTTCTCAGTTAACTGCCCCACCCCCTCACCCTGCTTCTTCAGAAACCAGTTTATTTAAAACATTTGCCATTAACACAACTCTTGTGTCTGTTTGTATGTAGGCATCACATTAACATAAATGGAAAAACAGTGTTTGGTAATGTTTACTCTTTGATAGACATTAACTATCCTAGTTTGGGATAAATTACTTAATTGCCTGTTTCAGATTTCTTATTTCTTTGCCCTCAGTTTAGTTCGTGGTTGGCTTTAAAAGGCTTTGTAAGAGGAGTGTGAGGTAGAAATAAGCTAACTGAACTTCAAAAAATTTTATTTAATGATTTGTCAAATTATTAGATGTCTAAAAGAATCACATTAATTCTAGGTAGCAAAGCAATGAAATCTGGGCTATGAGCAGAGCCATTTATTAAATTCTTGATTTGGGAATTAATCTCAGAATGATTCTTGCAAATAGTCATCTTAGCTGATTTAATTAGGATATGTGTGTTATCATTGAGAATAAGAGTTCATTTGAGTTTATTGATAGTTTTTTAAACCTGAAACACATCTTTTAAATGTTCCTCATCCTAACTTGTGGGTAAAAATATAGGCCACTATCAAAAGTGATTTAAAATATGCAGCACTGTTTTATTTAAAAATTATACTATAAATATCACATCATGATTTATGTGAGAGAATGAGTAGTATTCTACTATAATTACAGTTGAGTTTTATGGACACTGACAAAATATGGAATCATTTGGTCCTTTTAAATCAAAGTAACCTATCATTCACTAATTCACAACTCACAAAAAACATCTAGCCAGGCCAGAAAGGTGAGAGTTGTTTTGCCAGTAGAAATAGA